TACAAGGCAGATGTTCAAGACAAGAACGTGCCAGAGCATCGAAGTGTGAGGCTGACGCTAATCTGTTCTTGTACATGATGAATTACATGCAAACAAGGTAACAGCCGTCCTTCCACAATGAGCTTATGATACCCAGCATGTGCTGAATTATGGTACTGCATAACCGCATCCTCCGCTGGACTGACTGGGTACCATAGGTTGTGCTCGTTACATCTGATGAGTTGCTAGTTCCAGCTCTCTTTTGTCTTATTAGGAAAAGTGTGGCTCTGGGGAAGTGAGATGCAGCGCTAAGAGAAGCCCCATCCTTATCAAGAATGGAGCTGCAGGTAAAGTGAACTTATTATACAGGAAACTGCAACATCCGAGATCACTTCTTTTCTTTTTAAAACGAATTTTTCATTACCTCTGCTCAGCCACAGATTACACTATCCCTCAGTTCTGGGATGCATTGTGCTACACACTGTGAATTTAGTTAGGCACGATACTTTACAACCTTGATTTACTTTGTGTATACATTTACATGCAGGGAAGGTATGCATATCTCCTGCATGAACAAGAGCTCTTTACATATCACATAACTGTATTTGCAAAACACATACTAAAACCATTGTGTCCCACTAAACCCCAAATGGATGGATCTAAACAATTGTTACCTCCACCTCTCCACAGTCACACTCCTCCCCCTCTTCCAAGTAGCCATTCCCACATTTCTTTCCACCATACATTTTTTTGGTATCCGGCATATTGGACAGACACATCCCTCCACCAGACTGCAGATACTTCTCCAGCTCTTTCCTATTGCACTGGTTGAACACCTTGGGGAATGGGTGCCTGAATATGGACAGTGTAGAAAAACATCAAGACAGATCTGGGCAACGGTTTAGAGAACCAAAAACGAGCACATGTAAATCCTGACAAGTGCTAAAGTGCATCATGATTTTGTGTGCCTGTTCAAAATCAGATCCATCTGGATTACATTTGAAGGTAAGGTGAGATTGCACTGCAAGACTGTCTAGTAATATAATGACCTTAAAAAATAAACTTTATTGAAACAAAATACATTGAGTTAGATTTGACTTTGATAGCTGACAAGTATGGCTGTCCTTACCTGCTCAATACTGAAGCTGTGGTTTATTCCTAACTGCTTGAACAAGGCTGAGAATCCAGCACTCAGATTGTGAATAACTGCTTGTGAATCTAACTGCTAAAAATATTTCTGTTTTCTATCTACTGCCTCATTGCAAAGGATGTGAATATTTTCTGTTACGTGAGTTACTAATTTCTGTTGCTACAATGCCAGAACCTATGCAATCCATAGATGACAGTGCATATGCGAGTTCATGTTGTGTGTTCTACTTGCATGCCACTATGTTTTCACCTCTCACCTAAATGTTTTTCCTTATTTGAAGGAAATCATGCATGTAAAAGAAGATATCTATGGAGAAAATTTTGTTAAAACCTGCTGAAAAAAACTGAACCCCAAGGAGGAAGGCTTGAGGAAACAGGGAATGTGGCTTTAAGTGAATGCGTTCATCTGAACTTTTTATGTAAATGAATTATAGAAGCTGTTGTGATTTCTCGTCCAAAAAGAGCTCTGGAATCCCTGTGGGTTTCCAGAATCACTCTCATTTCCCTCTTCTCTCAAAGCAACTATTTCTTCCCTTTTAAACACAGGCTTTCTGTGGCTTATTGAAACCAAGCATTATTCTTAAGACAACATGTAGTTGGTCTGTTTTCATGTCTTCTGACTTAGAAACATAGCCCTATTGCTGTGCCTTTTAATAAAAATCAGTTATTTCCTGAAACAATCCTTTTTTCTCTTTTTACCACATTACAACCCATGTTAGCTTTTGCATGAGATGCTTTAGAAACCCTATCAACTATATATCTACGTATCTCATCTGCAACACAGAAATGAAACCCATGTAAACCTCTACAGGCCAAGGTCACACATGTTGCGGTCACCCCTCACTTCTCTGTACTCGCTGGCAACAGGCAGTCCAGGTTTTGCAGAAGGACGTGTGCATACATGCATTGAACTTGCTTTGGGGTGATGGATCATTTGTTATGACAGAGTGGGAAGCATAAACTCAGAGACGAGGGATTAGGGGGGTCCTGAGACAGTCTCTCAGGCACAGAAGATGATAGGCAAATTTTCCATTTTACCAGACAGTTTAGAGCTCCTCTTCTAAATTCTGCCAGGTCCCTACATTAACTAAGGCAAATCTCAGGCAGGAATAAATTCATTGGAATTTAGCAAATTGCTACTGAAACATGAGCCAGGGTTTGCCCAGCAGTATCTTCTCTACAAACACGCTGGCTCCAACAGGCAGCAACAGACCCACCGTCAGTCTGCGTTTCTAGCTCTTACTCCATCAAGGCTCTTGTAACGAAGCCCTTTGCATTTTTCTGTGAGACCCTGTAAGACGAACTCACCCAGTTGCAGAAGCCATGATGCAGCCTCCATCTTCTGCAGGGGTAGTACAGCAGCCAGCTGAATCATGATTCATGCCAAAATTGTGTCCCATCTCATGGGCAATGGTAGCAGCAACACCAAGGGCATTATCAGAGTGATCCTGTGCAAGGTCAAAGAGGCACATCAGCATTTTGCCTGAGCCTGTCCTGTGCACCTCTGAAACAGTGAGGTAAGCAGCACTTCTCGTTTCTACATGTAGAAGACATCTACTGAAGGTATTCCTGCCTATGAGAGGGTGAGCTAGAGGTCTTCATGGGAATTACTTTCTTCCTGGGCTTTAGGAGGCATCTATCCTATGTATTCACTGCTGGCAAGAAACATCATATTAGGTATTAGCAATTACTTACCATGTTTACTCCTCCTGACTGGAAATCAGAACACATGGACATCACGGGAGCCAAGCCTACTGTGGTACCTTGGAAAGGCACACCCCTAAAATCAACCCAGAAAGACCATGAAATGGCACTGAGGCGCTTGAGAAGGCAAGGTAGAAAAATGCATCCTGCAGTCCACAGCTTTATACATACACAGTGTCAGGTGAATACATTTTCTTTAGTAGCATCTTCAAGTATAGGACATTATAGCAGAGCTACAAAGCCTTAAGACCTATTTTTCTTGGACTACTACTTTGTTTTATGGGCCAACCATCCAATCCTATTTTTTATAACTGTCTAGTGCCAAAAAAGTGCTTCTGCTGAGCTCTGCAACAAGCACAGAAAAGATTATTTCAGGATCCTTAATTGGGTACTGTTTGTGAATATTTAATTTACCTTAAGCCTGATATTTGCCATCTTGGGATTCAGGGACCTGACAGAGTACTAGATAACATCTTTGAGGTACAGCCATGCTCAGCTCCTGCCTGGTGAGCGGGAATTCTGCACTGTCCCTGCCCACATGTCTAAGATGGGACCTCTGGAAATTGTGCTCAGGACACGATCAGGTGAAGATGAAGCACAGTAATGTTAAAGGGAAAAAACATCCAATCAGCCAAGAAAACAAGGGAAAAGGCACTGTATCTCTGCATTTCAGTCCTACAGGTTTCTCCTCTGACTCACCACTATTTACTGATGGATGAATTACCATGGACGAGGTAAGGAGGTCTAACGGTTGCTGCAAATTTTTCTTCCAATGACAACTGCACTGCTGGCCTTAGCTACTGGCACTACTGAGATCAGCAGGATGAGTCACAGGCCATCAGCTAGCTCCCAGGGTGGTGTCCCCTCTGTCTCAGCAGGATGAGTTGGGAATGAATGCCTTCCACAAAGGGCTTAGCTCCCCTTTACAGGTCTTGCTTATGGTTCAGATTTTCTTGAAATTGTACACATAGCAGTGACAGATCACGTGCAGCTGCTCATGATACACACACACAATAAAGATGATGCACTTTGAGGCATGTGTATTGAGGCTGCTGCATAGCCTGGGACCTCCACTTCTCTGAATGTGGTTGTGCTCTGGGTGTCAGAGCTTAATGCTGGCTGAGGAGCCACTACATAAATCTGCCACTATGAATCTTAGAACGATATAATCTTACATATTGATTTCCCACCCAACCAACCAACTTGTCAGAAACAGGTTATTTCAGGAGAAATAAACTTACGTGATTAGTTGGGCGTTATCGTGTTTTCTGTGCAAACGCTCCTTGCTACTCCAGGCCAGAAAGGACTTCAGGGTGGAGTAGGGATTCTCAGTTACATCACATTTATTCCAATTACTCCATATCTCCAGCCCCACCAAGGCAATCCGGATATTCAGGGATCTGTAAAACTAAGATACAGGAAGGAAAAGAGACGACAAAATGAGCACCACTAATTTATTTGACTGTGTTTTAAATCTTCAGTATAAATCCTACTAAATGCTACTACAGATACACATGTCGAAAGAATATGCTTCCTCTGGAACTGCATTGGAACTTAGCGCCACAGCTCTGCAGAGAGGAATGTGCACCACCACAAACCTAAACTTGATTGAACTAGAGATGCTGAACTTTCATTTTTAAATGAACGACAAAGAGATAATCTAGAGAAACAAAGACTGGAGACTGACATCATGTTTATCTTTAGATATGTCAAAATTCCTCAAAAGAGGAAGGAAATAATCTGCTGCCCCCGTCAAGTACCAACAGGACAAATCTTCATGGCGGTGGGGTGAAGGGAGTAGTAGAAGGAGTTTAAGGAAAGAAGAGGCGTATGAAGGAAGTAGATCTGAAAAGTAGTGAAGTTTACTTCAGCAGCATTGGGTATCACTGCAAGGATGACCTCTGAAGGCGCTTTCCAGCTCTACTTGCCAAGATTTCTACAATGTGAAGTAAATGCCTTAGTCTCTTGTCAAAAGCAGTATTTAGGTAACACAGTTAACACAGAGATGTATTAAAACACAGAGATGCTCATGCTGGCTCCAAGGTAAGGAATGGAGACTCCCCCACCCCATCCTTGATGTCCAACAACAGAATTGTTTGTCAGATGTTCTACGCTCCCCAAGTCACTGGGGAGAACTGTTGAAACATTATTCTGTCTCCCAAGAAAGCAGTCTTCTTCCGCCACAATTAATTCTCATAATTCATGATTTGGACTTTGCTTTCCACAGTTCACACACACCTGATCTCACCTTATCTACGTAATTAGCAGCCTCCACTAATTTAAGCCTTGTTGCTTCAATGCTGAAGTGATGCTTCTGAAACTGAACAAAATGAAGATGTCAGGGAGCACAAAGGCAACTAGAAAGAGCTGAAATTTGTTTTAAAAAGTCACGTTACTCTGGGAATAAGAAGGTAACAATGAAGCAAAGCCCAAAAGCCTTCCTTCACTGTACATCTGACTACAAGCCCACCCATACATATGTATTCAGAATCCGCCCACGCATACACGTATATTCAGAATCCATGCCTGGCATCTCACTGCAGTGATGTTGCTCAAATGGTGGTAGTAACACAGTGGAGCAATCCAAACTCATCAGAGCCCCCAGAGCCAGGGGCTGACAAAGAACTGACAAATGTGCCAGGTAAAATACATGGGAACATGACCTCATGCCTGAGGTCAAGGCTGCCATACTGCTCACGACAACTCACTCATCCAGTGCATGGGGATGCATCTCACTCATCCAATGAATTTGCCTATTAAAACAACCTGGCAATTACCAAGTTAATTTTAGCAAACTGATTCCAGCAATTTAAGTTGCAAAATGTTTAGATTTTTGTTAAACAGGCAACAAAATCTAGGACCTTTCTCCTAGTGAGGGAGACAGTAAAGTAAGGGCAGTTGAGGATGACACTGCGAGGGTGTCTACCCCAGCTCATCTAATCAGATGGTGAACAACATATGGCAGTTCCTGGGTATAATGTGTTTTCTCATAGTTTCCCTGGTATCCTGGTGCCTAATAGAGAAACCAGAATAGGTTCTGCCTCTTTAGTTTTGTTCAGAATAAATGATAGCCCAGAGCACTACGTGGCTTTCACTACCGGAGTTTCAAGTTGTAAATTATGAATAGGACCAGCTTGACTCCCATCTGTGCTGGAGATTAAATGATCAGCAAAAACTGCACGGTTTGCACTGTCAGTAAGTATGCATGGTGTGCCATCCAGGCTGGGGATGGGAGAGGGATTGCTGACTTCACTGGGTCTCTTCCAGCCCTATTCTATGATCTAGAGCCTTAAAAGTGTCTATTTATATATCTGCCAGCAGCTCAGAGCAGAGGATAATCACGGTTATCTTCTCCAGAGATTAAGTGTACTGCAGAGGTAGAAGCACATCATTCCTGGAAACTCACAACTCACCCTAGGCTGAAGGCAGTCTTTCACCAATAACCAGGGCTGACCACTGGTACCTTGGGAGGCCAGAACTGACCTCCAACCCTAGTCCTTCATCCAAATCACAACCCGCATCTCTTCCCTGGCCACTGATGGCTGATAGTGGTGACAGAGGGGTCATGGCTGCTAGGAAAAAAGTGACCAAGACACAGCTCTCCATCTGCTGGTGGGGGCAGGACCATTGGTATGGCAAGAAGTTTCAGCTCCAGCTGCCCTCCCTGCCCCAGGAGATGCTGTGGGTGGGATGCTTGCTCTGGGCCCGATGCTCAGTTGGTATAAACATGATCCCTTTTCTTACCTCTGCATAATCAGCCACAAGCAGAAGCTCCACATACTTTGTAGCCTGCAGAGTCTCTCGTTTCACCTGCAGCAGCAGCAACACAGTTTACTTCCCCAATTTCCCCCCAAAAATTCTTCACAAAACATATGTACATGTCATTTTTCCCAGTTTGTTTTTCATGGGCCACTCACTCCACACTATCATACGCAGGGACCTCCAGATGTAACTGGTTTACAGAAACTAACTATGACAAGTAGTTACAACAAGTGCACATGTGCCTGTCCTCTGCCCACCCACTTGTTCATGTATCAGATGCACAAACCTGGGCAGGAACAGCTACAGCCCAGATTCCTCACACTGCACAATGGTCCCCAACACTCATTTATTTCCCTGCTGGAGCCACTATTTGGCAACCAGCTTGCTACAGACACTCTTAAATATTCTTCATTTCACTTTCTGAGCTATGCTCCCAGAGAACAACACACTCCTCCAGCTTGGAATGGGTGGGAAACTTGGAGCATCATGCATGGAAGCAGTTTGAGCCCTTCTCACCCTCTGGTGGAGTGGTTTCATCCCAGTTGTGAAGTCCCTGAGCCAGTCTTCAGCTGCGCCCCCATTGCCCTGGTAGCCACAGGCTCCTTTCTGCAACTTCAGGTCATCCAACCTGTAGATCAAGTGTTGGTTTGGGCTGTCGGGAACCGGCTCTAAGATATAGCTGGAATTGCTGCTCAATACGATAAGTCCTCTGTTGAAACAAGAAGTAGTAAGAGGGAAAGTTAGTTACTGTCACAGCAACCAGAGACAAATCCTTCTTCTGCTACTGAGTTCCCGTTCAGCCCTAGCAAGGCACTTATCCTTATCAGGCCATTCAGTTCGTCAATAAAAAAGATGGGAATATTTTGAGTTCAGAGGGGGGAATCCCCCAGCTTGTGTATATTAAAATTTATTCAGTGGGCCTCAGACATTCAATCAAGGGGCTATTGGAGCATGTGCTGCAACAGTGCTAACCTGAGAAGTACTGGGGTTTTTAAAGTTCACCTTTTTCTTTAGTGGCAGTGGAAGCTTTTCAACCCATTGAAGAAATTTTTCTTCTACAGAACTGACCTAAAAAAGTGAAGATTTTGTTTGTCAACAGCAAAACCCACATTTCTCTCTGTGACTTGCACATATGGTTTTCTCAATGAGCATGTTTCACGCAGGAGAGCTGGAAATCTGTGTTTGATGCCCTCTAGAAGATGTGTGGCTCGACGGGCAGCACACCTCCCTGTGAAGGCTCAGAGAGAAAACAGCCGTATGTGCTCAGCTCCTGTGCCTCCCTGGCTATTAGAAAATAATGTCGAGTTGCCAGCACATGCTCACACTTCAGGGGTGCAGGAACCCTACTGCATGTGCATACCAAGATAACTCTATCTCCTCTGCAGTTGGAAGGGAGAGCCTAGGAAAACACAGGCTGGCAGAAGCAAGGCACACCTGTGACAACTTTTGCTTTTGGATTATTTATTGCAAGCCACAGGTGGCTGCACTGTCCTGTTTATCTCGCTGGGCTCTTTGGCCTGTGCTACATCCACTTAAGATGTCTCAGGTTTGCTTTGGCACGGGCTGTTTCCTGGCTGGAGCCAGTCCCATCAGCACTGCTCAAGAGCAGATGACCACTAACATCAATAAAGCCTGTGTGGTGTTTTGGAAACAAACTCTGAGCTGATGTAAATGAGTGCAGCTCCTTGGTCGCAACGAGCCATTGCATTTACTCCTGCTGAGGATACACACCATCTTTTCCTGCCAAAGGCTCCGTTACTACCAAAGTGAAGGTTTTAAAAGCATAACACACACAACCCCAGCACCTCCCAGGGAGAAAGCAGAGAGCGGGGCTGACAACTCAAGAGGAAGTTCAGACTTGAAGACTTTGCCTCAAAAAGCACAAAAAAACTTGCCAGTTGCGAGAGGCTGGGAGAAGGAGCTGGTTTCTGCATTAGTGCAGAGTATTTGGCTCGGGTGTGGTGGGTCCTGCCCCTGCCTTTGTAAGGGTTGCAGCCCCAAGTCACTAACAAGAGAGTCTTTCGCTCCAGTGGACTCTTGAGTTAAACTCACTTACTGCACAAGTCCACATTGCTAGCACAAAGGAGGAAGAAGTGTAGGAGCTGGCTAGGAGGCCATGGTTACTAATGATACCCAAATTTCTGCATTTCCCCTGACACACTCCCTTTTATGCCCGGGACCCTTGGCTGTGTGGCCTTTGAGAACAGGTCCACCTGTCCAGAAAGAAATACAGCAACCAGGCTGCTGGGGAGCAGAGCTCGGGTGGCAGCACGCTGAGGAGACGAGCAGAGGCATTCCCGCAGCTCTGGCATCACCAGGCACTTACCGCAGCCCTTGGCACGTGCTGAGCGTGACGCTGGAGTGCTCCCAGCCCCGCACGACCCCGTGGTAAAAGCAGTGGTCCTGGAAGGCAGAGGGGAGCAGGGTTAGCAATGCAGCTCTGGGATGGACGCGTGCTATATTTAGGCAGCACTGAGTTCCATGCGAGTACTGCTGATACTCCAGAAATTGTTCTCTTTCCACTGCATTTGGCAGTTGACTATCGTAACTAAATCTCTGCGAGTCTGCATTGAAATCTGGCCTTTCAGCTGCCATGTGTGGCCTGTGCGAGTGCATCAAACAGCTCCTTGTTGACAGTAAAAATGAAGAGCTTTGAATCCCCAAGGAAGCAACTCAGATGGCTGCAGCATTAAGGCCGACCCAAAGCTTTCTGCCTGTAACGGGAGATGCCTATCAATGGCAGCTGGCCTGGGTCAGGCCCCAAAGGACGTGCCTTCAGCCCCAGAGAGGGTGATGCCACAGGCAGTGGGGGAAGTCCCTGTCTGGGAGTTCCTGGCAAGACAAAGGCAGCCTCTGGCAGGGACAAGGAGGCTTTGGGGCAAAAACGCCAACGTATTCATCACATCCCTTCCCCTCGCCCTGGGGCAGCATTAGTACAGATGATCTCATGGGGTTTTTATCTCTTATTTTTGCATCGCAACCAATGCACATCTTTGTGCCACTGCAGCAGGGAGTCAGCCAAGGTCTGTGTGAGATCAGTAATTTATAGGATTTTTATGGAACAGGAGCAAGCTTACACGGGCTGGTTTCCCCAAAGGCTGGGAACATCCTCAGCATGGAGTAACCAGTGGCAAAACTAAGCAAGAGGATGAGCAGCAGGAGGAATAAATGATTCCCCAGCACCCAGAGAGAGGGGAGAAATACTGGCAGCTGACCTTGGCTCTCATAACAGAGCTCAGGCAAAACAATAAGATGTTTTTACCATTTTGGGGGATGCAGACACTTTCTCGCTGGAACCTTCCAGCTCAGAAAGCCAGACTGCCCTCCTCTTCAGCTTAAAGCTGTGGGGACCTGTGGCCTCAAAGAAAGGCTCTGGGGAAAGAAGCCCACCCGCTTCTCTGGGCCCCCTGCCTGGTCAACCCTGCACGCTGTGGGAGGGAAAGTGCTCTCTGCACTCACCGTGTGGGTCAGAGAGACAGTCTGGGTTTGTCCAGTCTGGCTGTAATGAGTCTCAGTGTAGCCTGGTGCAAAGAGGTTTCTGCAGACACAGCAGAGGAGGCAAAAGAAAAGAGAAAAAAAAGACAGTAAGACCTTTCTTTAGACCTGGGTTTCTGCTTCCTAGGTGTGCTAGAAAATCAGCTAGATCCTGCTCTTTCTGAAGTCAGTATAAATATTCCTGTTGCTGTGAACCACTGTTATAGACTTGGGGCGGTCGCTATCTGCTACCTGTAGTGCAAAACCAACCGCAACACACAGAGAGGGCAGGTGGGAGAATTTGTAGGACATCAGCTGTGCTGCATCTCTACACTCTGCTCCAGACCAGCACTTTCTGTCTGCGAGGCACTTGTTAACACACTGTCCCCTGGGAGGCAGCAGCTAATGGCTTCCTGGTGGCAGCACAGGAGCCACCTGAGCTGCTGCAGGACTGGTGCCACAGGCTGTGCTTCCCTGTGCAGAGTGCGCTGTGATGGCAGAGGGTCAGAAGATAGAAACACAGTTGACCTTGCCACATCCATCTATCTGCTGCTCTGGCAGGAGCTGAGCACTTCTCATGGAGCTCATCCACTTCTGAAAGGGTGCAGCAAGCCATCTTCCTAAGTGATCTTTCAAGACATTTATTAAATTAAAACAGTAAAGAAGAGTCTGTCCCTGGGTTCAAGTAGGTGCCAAGATCCAGTTCCAATAGCTGCAAATGAACAACTCAATTTTTACGTGAGGACTTTAAATAAAACCAGAAACCAAACATCATCATCATCCCTTGATGGGTACAAGTCTGTGTGCAGAGTTTCCTTTACACATTAACATTCCAAGTTATGTCCCAGATACACTGGGATTAGATTCAAAGCACCAAGACTAGCGTAGCCAGCACACCACAGTCCAGTTCAGAACACATCTGGGCACTGGTGTGAGTTCTCAGCTCAAACCCAGACTCTCTCCAGTGCCCAGATCTGAGTACAATTATAAATCTGCATTTCAACTTCTGCTCAGAAGCCAATTCACATCTCTGTCCTATGAAAATGCTGATTCCCCAATTTGAATTTGTTCATGTCATCCTCATATAGACAATATTCTCCCTGTCTTCAGCCTAGGATCAGACCAAAAGTCTATAAAAGGAGCTCCTGTGCACTGAATAGTAAGCATTTTGATTTTGTTCCAGAGGAAACAGCCTTCCCCTTCTTAAACATCTGCATTTTCCAAACAGTGATATAAAAAAAGTACAGCAATTCAAAATCTGGGCCAAACCAAGAAGGTCATATCCTGTGTCCATCTCAGCAGCCATAAAATGTAGGTTTAAAACAGTTTTTTAAAACAATGGCCTTACTTCCAAAAATTTGGAGAAGGATCACAGAATATGCCTCATCTATTAAACACACTTCTACAGCAACCCTGCAGTGCTGTCAGGCCACTGAAGCACCACACTTGCCATGCCATGAGGATGCCATGTGGATGCTGGGCAGTGCGATGCCAGCAACACTGCAGCTGCAGTTCAGTCCTTTTGCATCCCTGTTTACTGTGTTTCGTGCACCAGATTTTTGAACTATGACCTGCAAGAGAGAAAAACTTCTTTTCTTTGCTTGATTTCTTTAGGCTGGGTGAATAAAGTTGTACCAGAAGCAAAAATTTTTCCATCTGCCTTGGTTTTTTGGTATGTGTCAGTCAGGTCTAATCTACCTTGAAAGCCTCCCTGCTTAAATAAGGGATTGAGTGCCTGTGACATCTAATAAAATTAGGCAAGAGCAACAGGAAATGCAACCTTTCATCAGAGTGTTTGAGAGTGCCTCCCCAGCATCCAAAGGCTCAGACATCTGAACAAGTACCAATGGCTTAGTGTCAGACAAAATTCTGTGCCACTGTGTATTTGAAAGCATTCAATGTCAGGAATACAACAGCTTTTATTTTGTTTCCTTCTGATGTGTTAATTCTCATCACTAGATCCTGTCAGTGATCAGAAGGTGAGATTGCTGCAGTTCAGCTATCTCTGGCCTGTAAACGTAAACTGAAGATAAGCACAGAAGAACCATCCCACAGAAAATAGCTCCCTTCATCTCTCTGACTGCAATAGCTTGCTCAGCATGAAGCTGCAAGAAACAAATGTTTAATCAACAGATTGCATTAACTCACAGGAAATTGCCTTGAGCAATGTGCTCTGGCAGGTATCTGGTCTGTGTAAGACTGTCATCTCAAGAGCAGACAGTAAACCAGTGTGCATCCGCCCAGTGCTACTAAAGCCAGAATCAGACACCAGCCCATGGATTTCTAGTAGCTGACACTTGCACAGCCTACTTGTTTCAGTCCCAAACAAGCACGCTTATGTGTCCCTGCTGCTCCTTTATTCTTGCAAAGCTTTCACTATGAATAGCTATTTTATCTCTCCTCCAGCATCGACCATAAAACTCCTCAGTGCTTTGACTCCTGCCCAGCTCCATGGTGCTGCCATCCATCCCTGGTGCTGAGCCGACCCATGCTGAGCCTAGCACACCAGGTTTCAGGGCACAGGATGATGCCACACAACACACAATAGATGTGTGTGCACATCTCTTCCCACCTGCGGTCTCAGGCTCTAGCCCCTTCTAGGGTGGATTATGAGCTGAGAGGTCTGCCTGGATTTGCAGGGATACTTATGCAGCTGCTGAGCTGAAAGTGTGTATCATCTGGCTGAGTGGTGCCACATGATGAAATTCAAGCCTCCCTCCACCAGTTGACTCCTGTCCTACACTGCAGGCTTCCTGTGAAAAGTCCAAATTCTTATTCTCAGCTTGAAACTGTGCTGTTTTGAAGACCCTTCCCTGCATTAACGCAGGGTAGCTGTGGAGCTCTTGCAGCACTGCTGAGAAGGGCTATCACAACGCATTGCATGGTGTGCGGTGGGGACGGCAGTGAGGAAAGAGGAAAAACAACAGGACATCTTGCAACACCCTTGGGGTGCTATCTCACTTTGAGCCTGTGAAATTTCATTCCCATCCCAGCTCACTTCCTCAGCTGGCATGAAGCTTTCCACCAAAATGTAAATAAATAGAAAAGCCTTCTTTCCATCTTGGAGTGCACCAGAGCTATCAGCCAGTCTTGTCCCTTTTCTCCATGTGTACCAGTTGTTGGATAAACAGGAGAGATTAGTGAGATACACATACCCCAAAACCTTATCTGCCATCATTTCAGGACAGCATCAGTGCAAGGCTGTACAGCTGATTCCAGGGGAGCTCAGCCCTGCAAAGTGCTGATGGACCTGCTTCATCATTTCCAGAAAAGCACAGAGCTTACCTCCTTGCTGAAGAAGGAAAGCCTGGAAAAAATAGCATGATTTGATCCTTTCTTCTCTGTTAGATTATATGTGTCAGTGACTACCTCTCCAGCAGCTCAAGATGAAGCTGCAAAAGTCTGGATGCAAAATAACATCGTTTAAAGGCTTCTGAGGTCCAGTCAGGCAGCTGGCAGATTGCTAGCACACCTTTTCCTAAAAGGCAGCACGGAGTCCCTCATCAGAGGAGTTATCAGCATGAAGAACTGATGAAATCAGAGGAAAAGCTGGTTTTGGATGGGAGCACTCTCCTTTACTAAACCTCCTGGGGCTGTTTAAGGCCAGGGTAAGCTACACACGAGCACTCAGGATGTTCTAGAGAAGACCTCACACCTTTCCAACAGCAACCAGCTTTTGGCAAGGTCAGTCGTTCCCCAAGATCTGGCATTCCCCAAGATCTGGCTCAGCATCCAGCTCAGAATGGAATAGTCTGCTCTTGGCAGGATTTGTTCCCCAGAAAGCCTTAGGAGCCGGGTTAAATACAAGCGAGGAAGCCAAACGAAGGAGGAGTGGCTCGGTGCCATAATGTACAGATGGCTTGAGACTGTTTCTGCTGATGACCAACATGGAGTGATCTTGGTCCTGCTCCAGCCTGTCAATGATATCAGCGTTTGAAACAAAACCCTCCTCCCCGTGCAGCCGTGCTGCTCCCTAGAAGGGCCCTGCCGTGCAGAGCTGACGTTACAGGGCGGCGTGGCTCCCTTATGCCACAGCGAGATGCCATGCCAGGGAGGCCACATACTTTGCACGTGAGCCGATGGTATTCAATGGGAGAGGCAGGCGGAGGGCGTGGGCCAAAGCCCAGCTTTCTCGGCGGGCAGCTGCCCCTGTGGCACTCCAGGACGGTGCAAGAGCATGGCCTCCAGCTCATCTGGTCACCACAGAGGAGCAGAGAAGCAGCTGGGGGGAGAGGGCCTGCACGGCACACCCAAACTCTCCAAAACAGCAGAAAGAAAGCTGGGGCCTCTCTCACACAACCATGTTCATTTGAGGGAGGGCATGTTTCCCAGCTGCTCTGGAGAACCTCAGCCCTGTTTTCCTGATAAATGAGAGCAGTTTTCTCTCGTCTGTGAAACATCACATGTTAGCACAGAGGCCCCATCCCAGGGGACCACCATAAACATGCTCAGCTCCACCAGCCAGAGATCACCCATGGGCACAGGGAGGGCCCTGGAGACACACTACTGCTTTTGCTAATTGGAGCAAGAAGGATTATTTTATTATTTTTTTATAATTCAGTCCCATTAGCAACTTTGTTTGGGTTGATTTTACAGAGGGGCTAGTCTGCATGGACAACTGCCAACTTAAAAACACCCATGAGTATCTAGGAGATGGACGTATTTTTTAATTCCTCCCAAAAAACAAAAGCCAAATTGTCCATGAAGCCCTCGTGAGAAACACAGACTTAATTTTTAGTCATGGGACCAAGAAAAGTGAAGCCTGCATTCTCTTACATCTCTTTCCATCCTCAAATCACAATAAATCTGTCCAGCCAGGCTGCCAGCATCTGGACGTGGAGGGAATTGACTCTCCCAAGAAAGTTTAGACATCAGATTTCCATCTACAGTGTGCGGTCCCACCCCATTGCCTCTCAACAGAATCCAAGTAGGGTAAGAATGGAAATTTGACCCCTTGCCTCCCAGTCACTTAAATGTTCCCTAACGTCAGACTTTATCATCAAAACCAAGACCCCATCTTGAACATCACCAACACATGACCCATGACAACACAAGCAGGCAGGCCTGCTTTCTGTATCTGCCACTAGTGGGAAATCAGAGATTTCACCTCTCTGGAATCCTCCAGCCAAAACCTGGCGCTTCATAAAATCAATGAAATCCAGAAGTTTTTTTCTTGGTGAGTTTCATGCAGACGAAGCCTGAAGCTCTTAAGCTCCCTTCCTCAAGAGTCTTTGCTGATATATATGAGAATATGTTTATCGTGGGAACAGCAGCAGTGTGGAAGCGAAAAGTAGCTTCCCAGCTATTGAGGTGGAACTAAACTAGCTATTTGCAGTGCCTGGGAAAAGTATCACAGGCTAAAGACTCTCCATCCCCTTTTGCCATCCACATCATATGTGACATTCACTGTGTAAATCATGTTACAGAACCAAAGCAAAATTTGTCACATAGCCCCTTGGCTTACCAATGGGAACCATAAAGGTCACTCAGAGAGGTGAAAGGAAATAAAATAAATGGGAAACTGGCTGGCAATGAGTCAGGGAGCAAAAGATTTAAAGGGCTCCATTTCCTTGTCTCTTCCTCCCTGCTCCACACAGAGAAATCACTGAATATCCCAAGGGCATTAGGAGGCTGAAAGCAGCTATGGCTTTCCAGATCCCAGCCCTGTTTTTCTGATGACTCCAAGAGACAGTAGAGCCAGATAAACTCAATTTCCCTCCTTTACGTAACCCTTACCCCCTCCCCATGCAGGAAGCCCATTAGACACTGATGATGTATAGCCTATCAGTGGAATAATCTCATGTATCCTTCCTGCTCAGAAGTGGGCAGCAACCTCCCTTCTTCCTCACTCAGTTGGTAGAAGAGGCCCTGAAAATGAGCAAAAGCAGGAAACCGTGAAATACAAGTGACACAGATCTCATATCAGACTGCTGAGAGCATCAAACAGGGCTGGAGTGCTCGTTGCCTACTCAGGTGGGGCCAGAAGAGACTGGAAACGAGACTGCTCCCTATCAGATCCAGTTGCCTGAAAATAACTATCTGGATTGCTCCCAAGGTCAGACCAGATGAGCTTCGGACTTTTTTTGCAGTGTCCTCAGCTATTTGCTGCACATCTCCACTGGGGTTCTGCCACCGAGTGTCCCACGCCATCATGGCTGCTGCAGGTGGGTGGCAGCCAAAACATGCAGCTGAAACATGCAGCCAGAACACTCAGCCATGCCCCACACTGCCCATGGGATTCACCTGCAGGCAGGAACATCCCCTAGAAAAGCCAGTTTCTCCTGGAGAAGCCTCCACTGTGCCTGGCAGCTGAGTGGACCTTCCGAAGTCTGCTTTCCCCATGAGACACACAAAGACAAAGAGGAGAAGAGGGAGGGAAGTCTTGTTGATAATTTTCCTGCAGTCAGGTGAAAAGACAAATTCCATGCAGGTTTCTGCCATGCAAATATGAGCTCTCCTTTTCACTAGAAAGAAAAGGCTCACACCAGGCAGTGCTGCCACAGACATTCAGTGTCTCAGCATCTTCTCCCCGCTTGTCTCAAAGCTGCTTTTTATTAACAAATGCAAATGCCTTTTTTAAAAGTCACTTTTCATCCAAGGTTTGCATCTCAGATTCTTCCGTTCCTAAGCCCCAGCCAAATTGAAAGCTGCCTTTATAGGCATCTCTCCATATATTTGTTGTTTGTGCAGCTTTGAGCTTTCCAGTCCTGCAGCTGCAGGACATAGTTTTGAGTCATTTTAAACAAGCTTGAGTCGTTTGGGGGATATACTTTTATCGTTATTAAGAAATGTTAAACAGTGTTGTGAACTCTGCTTGGAACTACAGCGTGGTTCCACCTTCTTATCAAACTCCTGAACAGGAAATAATGCAATATTATGTTAACTGCTAATGCAATAATTGTATTTGTTGATATATGAAGCCTAAATTCATATGTGTGCTGAGCTTGTTACAAAATACAGAGTTGTGCACAGTTCTGAAGAAAGTTATGCAATAACTTCTGTGTTTCTCCTCTATGGATGAACACAATGTCCTTTTCATATGGAATATGAAATCACAGGCTTGGCGCTAGCATTTCTTTCAAATATTGAAAACAGCATGATTCTTTCAAAGCTAGTGCATTGCTACCAAAGCCATACAGATTACGACTCTTCCCTCCGCCCCGCCCTTTCATAGCAAGCTCATACTCTCATCAGTTTGTCTCTCCATAAGGAGAGTCGTGAATGTGTAACAAGGCTGCCTGATCCACCGAGAACATCGCTTACAACAGTTTCACTAGCTTGGTGTATCTCCTTTCTAGCTTTGGGAACCATTGGGTAAATCATATCCCAACCAGACCCAAATTATGGCAATCATTTCATGCTTTCTTTGAGTGGTGGGAGTCTGGGATGTGCATATGAGAGTAAAACGGGAGCCAGGCGGGTGCATTTGCACCCCTGTGCCGAGCTCAGGGACAGAGGGGGAGCAGAGCACCAACCCTGGCAGAGGGTTTCCAGAGGCTCCTCTAAACTGGGTCTGTTAAATGACCCAGAACTCTGGGGTTTATTTTAATTTTAAAAGCCCCAAGTATCTTCCTTAAAGTTGAAGTTCAGTCATATCCAATTTTCTGTGAACTTGAAACCAGGAACATCCAGGTTTCAGAGAACTTTGAAGGGACACTTCACACTTGGGGGATTTCACCTTCTCTTCCGCGTCTCGGTGCCCAACAAGCCCTTCGGAGAAGAGGTCCCTAATGCTGCAACTACTCAGTACCCCAAACCTCAGCTAGAACCTCAGGCTTCCCTATGAGACAAGCAATAGCAGCGGTGAGCTCAGGGGTGCTGGGGAGCAACCCCAGGCTGGGAACCTGAGGAGCCAGCCTGGACTCTGCCTTCTGTATGCTTTGATAAGGAGAAGCGTTTTGCCTCCGCTTAGAAGTGCTCTATGGATATCGATAATTACAGCACACACAGGGCTCCCAGGGATCTCATGTTTTTGTTTGCTTCACTGTTTCTCTTTTAATTTGAGTGTCTCTAAACTAACTCTGCACCTTCACAAGTCTCTGAAAAGTGGTGGCTCTCCAGAGCCTCTCAGCTAATCAAGTTCAGGCTTGTATTTTGGGATTGCACCATCACCTTTCTTGAACGAGGACTTGAGGCCTGGCAAGACTCCCATGTGAAGCGCTGCTATCTAGGAATCACTTGTATTTTCCACAGAAAATAAAACCAAAAAACTCCAAACCGCTTGCTGTGTTTCATCAGTCCTAGTAAGGCAATTCATCCCACAGTGGAAGTGTGTGCGCACACTTAAGCCTGTGTGTTTACATCTCAATGAATGAAAATGCATTTCAGGATGTAACACAATGGAAACCTTCTGTTATTATAACTCTGTTTACCAACACCAGCAATGAGTTTGTCTGCACTGGAAATAGCTCCCGCAAGGCACCTGGAGATTATGTCATCATGCTCGGAGCACAAATAGATTAATTCAGCAAGGATCCTTACTCTTGCCAGCTTCTAGTGTGCCAGAAATAAATTCACCTTTGCCAGTGATACTTGCGAAGTGTACTGCAGAATAGGCAATACCTGACAGCCCTTCCACCAGGAAGGAGACCCCCAGCAGCATTAGCCGTTACGTTGCTTCCAGGTTCAGTTCAGAGACTGGCATTGCTGACCACTGCCATCAGCAACAGCCCTTTTTCCTGAGTTAGTGCTTATGCTGCCTGGTCTTATCTACCACTTCTCTATTTTCCCAGATGACAGGTGCCAAAACACACAGAATGTCTGGCCTCTGCCTGGGAAACACAGCTGGTTTTGCAGCACTCCCAGTAGCTTCCGTGGCCTGTTACAGAAAACACCTCGTAGGATGTAGTTGCCTTTTATCAGCCATCAGATTTCAGTCTTTGCTGCAGACAGCGCAAGAAAAACCTGGTTTTCCTCCAAAACAGCCTGAATATCATTTAGGTTTATGCACTGCCATCAGGACTAATAAGATCTTCTGACACTTGACTCTTTCAGGAGGAAAGCTGAGCCCCCAAGCCCTGTGGTTGGGATGTCCATGCAATACCTTTAAAACATAACCAGGGTCATTATTCCAAGGTTATTACTCCTACTGATACCAGTATCATTTGGTTGTGTTTCCATAGATAAATCTTCAGACCCATTTAAAAATAAATAACACAACCAACAGTGCAAGTAGACTGCTTAGCAAAGACAAGTTTCTTGCAGCTAAATTTCCAGATGCTGTTCCACCACTGGAAACTAATGTACTCACAGGGCAGAGAGCTTCTGGAGCAGCCTCTAGACCAGAATCCTTCAACCTGCCTTAACCTCCTGCAGCTTCAGCTGAATGTAATACACATCACACCCTATGATATCACACAGCATTGCTGTACCATGCCTGAGAGGAGGTTGCATTTCAGTTAATGCAAAAGCATTTTTTCAGTCTACTTTAGCATGAAGGGCACTAATGGAATTGAAACTGTCAGATCCTTTCTCCAAGGAAACGGAGCAGGACCTCTTCAGATCACAGCAAATGAACTCCTCAGTAGAGTCACACTGACTCTAAAGCATCGAGTCATTTGGTAAATAGTGCACTTCATATCAGCAACATTTTCTAGCTAATGTAGTAAGAATTATGATGCACAAATAGGTTTACACACTGAGGGCCAGGTCACCGTCTGCTTTTTGCTGACAAAGCTCTGTTACAGTCAGCACTGCTTGGCTGATTAACATCAGTGGGGACTCAGACCTGGAATAACCTTGAAATCCAGAAAAGAACTTCCTCATCCTGTCTTTATCAAAACCCCGTTGAAGTCAGTGGAGGTTTTCCTGTTGACTTCACTGTAATCCTTATTAATTATTTCAGTGAGACCACAATGCAAGGCACAAGCACACTTACCCATTTTTCTCCAATTCCAAGATGAGCTCCTGGCCTTCTGCCTTTACTGTAACTTCAGCTCTGAATGGATGCTGCGTGCGAAAGAGACAGTGCCTGTTACTTGTACATCATCGTAATTATGAAGACATCCAGAAACACAAATTGTTCCCCTGGAAATTGCAGCTGACCTTAAACTGCTCCTCACCTTCCTACTACCTTCAGACCTGGAGTGCTGAGGAAGGGAAGGGACAGGCCATGGCTCCCAGCTCCAGGCATGCTGCCACATCCCCATGGCACAGCCATGCGGAGCTGGGAAGCAGTACTGGCACGCTGGTGGGGTTCTGTATCTGAGGTAGTGATCCTGGTGTCTCAGGAGGAATAACGGGCTCAGACGAGGCAGCAAGCCCTGGGGCTGGAGCACTTTGAGGTGCAGCTGGATGGGAGGGGTGCGCTGCATCCCCTTCTCCTGTACACTGTGCTCAAGACCACATCACAGGACAGCCCAGCTTGCCCCAGAGGTTTACAATTCTAGTACAGAAGCTAGTTAACCAAGGCTTCCTTTGTTGTCATAGCAGAAAAAAACATTTTTAGAAGCCTGTTTCAGGAGAGGAGGACTCATGCCTCTTCCAGAGATTCTCACATAGTTCCTTTACTCACAGAAAATGCTAGGAAAAGGCATGCAACAGGGTCCCTTAGACATCTTTAGGCTCTGGTCATTGTTCAGTGTTTCACAGCTTCTTTTCTATTAGCCCCAGGCTGCCAAGGGACTGGAAACCATGAGAGCAACTTTCTAGTGTGTTCAAGTACACAGGCACAGCTCTGGTTCGCAATCGCAGAATCATTTTGGTTGGAAAAGACCATTAAGATCATCAGGTCCAACCATTATCCTAGCACGACCAAGCCCACTACTAAACCATGTCCCTAAGCACCACATCTCTACGTCTTTTGAACACCTCCGGGGATGGTGACTCCACCACCTCCTTGGGCAGCCTGTTGAATGCCTAACCACTCTTTCAGTAAAGAAATTTTTCCTAATATCCAATCTAAATCTTCCCTGGCGCAGCTTGAGGCCATTACATCTTGTCTTGTCATTAGTTACTTGGGAGAAGAGACCAACATTGGCCTCACTACAACTTCCTTTTAGGTAGCTGTAGAGAGCAATAAGGTCTCCTCTCAGCCTCCTCTTCACTAGGCTAAACCACCCCAGTTCCCTCAGCCACTCCTCATAAGACATGTTTTCCAGACCCCTCACTAGCTTCATTGCCCTTCTCTGGACCTGCTCCATCACCTCAACCTCTTTCTTATATTGTGGCGACCAGAACTGGACACAGTAGTCAAGGTGTAGTCTCACCAGTGCTGAGTACAGGGGCATGGTCATCTCCCTACTCCTTCTGGCCACACTATTTCTGATACAGGCCAGGATGCTGTTGGCCTTCTTGGCCACCTGGGCACACTGCTGGCTCATGTCTGAATAAGGGCACAGGGCAGCTGGCTCCCCAAGACCTACTGGTGTTAATGGAGAGGACCCTAATTTCTTAGTGCAATGGCAAACGTATACACTAAAACTAACTAAAAAAAAATCATTCAAGAGACTGAAAGTATAGTATAGTCCTTTCTAGAGGACCAACCAGAATAGCCTCTGGAGGTCTCCAGTTTTACCTCCCTCAAAGCAGGACCACTAGATAAGGTCAGCTAGGGTTTTCTGAGTATGAGTGCTTTCTCATGGATGAATAAACTCAAATGAGGAAATGGATGAATAAACTCAAAACAGAAATAATCCATTTGGTAAGAACAGACTTCTCTATTCAGATGAAAGAAAAAAAATAATAAAAAGTGGTGAGATGATTAACCCATAGTATTTCCTTATTCAGTGTTGGAGGGGATTTTGCAGAACAGATTGACTGAAAGCAGAATAAAGGAAGGCTGACTGAATAGGATGTTCTGATGAAAGATTTGTTGGCCCAGAGATATGACTACTTGCCACTTCATCAACTCCAAACTCAGTTACAAACTTCTCCTTTCATCAGCTCCCTGCTCATATTCTGGGTTTTGTTCACCTTTCAGTTTGCAGGACACGGAACCAGGGCCATGCAGATGATGCAAAACAAGTCGATACATTTAGTATATACAACAAGGGCTAATTCCAAGGGACTGAGTTTAGTTTATGGAATCACAGGTGCTCAGTACACCTCAGGGTAGGTTTGTTGTTTTGCTAACTAACATGTAAGCAATGGAGGTTGCCTTGCCCTTAACTGGGGAGGTCTGTGGGTCTCCATCATCATAAAAGGCTCTTCACAAAGGTTGTGCAAACATCATTATTACTAATAATGCTTTCCCTTCAGTAATCCCACTACTGCAGTCTTTCACTTACTGTGTAACTGAAATATCCCAGCTGTGCATAAGCTTTGCTAACACCAGTTTTAGAGCCAACAGGAACTTGCCTGAAACAAACCAAGTACGACCCCTGAGACCCAGCAAATTTGTATAAGGGGAAGTGCTGTCCAGATATATTTGTATTACTATCAATAATAGAGAGAATCACAACTTCCAGGCAGCACTACAAGGACATTTTAAAGGGAGTTACGATCATGAGATCATTGTAGCTTTTTTTTTTTTTTTTTTTTTTTTTTTAATCTGGCATAAAAAAAAAAAAAGTTTTAGAAAGTCTCATCATATGGGAAGGACTTAAACCCCAAAATAACACCAGTTATGGGGAGATGCCATGATTTTTCTTTAGTATAATACTGCAGCTTCTCTTTTTCTGGTTCACAAAGTAAATAACACCATCTGGATTTTCCTTTTTCATTTGACCGTGCAACTGATAACTTCTTGATTGTGGCAATGCAAATACCGGGAAGCTGAACTGCCGTTTGTGGTTGATGTTTAAGTCTGTGACCCCAGCAGTTCTCAGAACGGCCGCACACTACTGACACGCCACTTCATCCATCCTCCTACAAGAAGCTGGGGTGAGATCTGTATCGATACATATGGTGCCTAAGGCAGTTAGACACACCTAGCTGCTGCTTGGCTTTTCTTAGTGAAGCACCCTCACAGCGGGGATTCATCTGCTCCTGAAGCAGATACCTCTACTCGGCTGTTCTCTAAACGCCACTGACCGTTCTGCCTCACTCCCCTTCACAGGCATATCCATCAGGCAGACTTGGTCTAGGTTCTAAGGCGTGGCAGGGGGCAAACGATTACAAGCCTCTGCACAGAGTGAATGCAAGTCGCCAGGAGCGGTCTCACGCTCAGTGCCCGAGATGTGCCAGCCAGCTCGCCCAGCCTGCCTCGGGATTTGGAGGAGCTGCAGCAGCTCCCCGGGCTGCAGAGGGCTCATCCCTGCGGCTTCTCGCAGAGCTCCGTTTTAACAAAAAAAAAAAAACACCAAAACGCACATCGCAAGGTCCTGTGCTGACCACGACATCGTTCCCCGCCGCCTCTGGAAAGGACACGGAGGTTTGAAAACACAACACAAATAAAGCGCTGGGCGCGACCTACCTTCTCGCTGCTGGGGCTGCCCAGGGCGGCCCGGCGCGGCCCCCCCGCCTCGGGCTGCAGCTCCGCGCCGGCGGCCACCCCTCCGGCTGGGGACACACAAGAGGAGCCGCTCACGACCCCGACCCCATCCGCACCCCCACCAGCGACAGAACACGAAGCCGGGGCGGGTGGGGAGAGCTCTGCGCTGGTTGTAGGGGGAGCAGAAGCATCCCTCTACCCATCCATCCATCCATCCATCCACCCATC